CGCACGTTAACCACACTAGTAATTACTATAAATAGAGACACAAAGTTCAACGATGAATTACTTTGATTTTCCTCATATTAGCTCATTCAACTCTCACCTTTAAAATCAGCAACCAAGTTGAGAAAAGTTTTGAAACGTGCAAAGCATACTTGTTTCAAAAATCCATTTGATCTTACAATGTAGGATACTATGTGCAAGTTGATCTGTACTTGCAATATTATAATTTTTTTTACGTAATTTATTTCATGAAATGCTAATTGACTTACGGGTCTTAATGAAATGAAATGTGAGATTTCCTTCGAATTTTCTCAAATGTTTGCACAGAAATATGTTACGGCATTCGATCGATCTCCGACTGTTTTTAATGAAATGGTGGTATGGAACGCCATAAATTTATGTTTAAAAATTTATTATTGTTTTGAACGCATGTATCTCCTTGAGTTTAAATTACTCATTCCTTCAAACTTCAACATTTCAAGTTAGATCGGCTAACGTGGATGGTGATTGAACGGTACGCAGGTTGCCCAAGTAAAATTTTAGGAAAACATTAAACAATAAATTTTGTTATGATATTTTTTGTTTTTCTCTATTTTTGTTTAATGTTCTAAATTTCTAGACTCTATTTTTATTTGATTCAATTTATGAAGGTTCAAATAAATTGAGGATTTAAATTTTCAATTAATATTTTCACTTCAAGTATGATTATGAAATGATATCATTAACACCTCAAAATTTAAGTCAATAAAATTTGGGATGGAAGTTAACCTCTATTCCAATTAAAGTCAGTCACGCATTCAATAAAAACTTAGGAAGCAGATAAATGTTCCAAACAAAATAGAAATCATATACAGATATAAAAGTAAAATCCATGGTTGAATGGCAAAAACATTTACTTCAATGCTTGTATTTCTTCGAGAGCCAACAAGATTCTTAAGAGAGTCGGGTATCCCCAGCAACCCTCTAAAGATGCCGATCTGCAGCTTCAAGTATATCCTCAAAACCGCATACAGCTTGCTCAACTCAACATAAATATGTACAACATATCTATTTAATGGCGGGAGCAATATCACTGCTTCCTAATCCCATCTTCTTCCCGAGAACATCAAGCTGCTCGACGAACTCACCTCCCGTCAGTATTTCAGTGGTTCCATAAATGACATGCTTGACTGGCTGCTGACTGCGTGCAAGATCTTGCAAGCTCCCGTGCTCTACATAATTTCCACCACCGATCATAAACACGATAGCCTCTTTGAATGGTCCTTTCAGGTGGCTGCTACTTGAACCGGGGGTTGACTTAGGTGCGCGAGGATCAAAAACAAGATAAGAATCACTTTCAGGATTTGGTTTGCCCTCCATTAGTGCATCAACTGTTCTTGTCAGAGCCAACTGATGATCACTAGACAACAAATTTTTCACACCAGCAGTTACAGCACTGATTGACTGCCCATACAATTTTTCGGCCCAATCGACAATATTGCTCCTGCTGGCAGAATTTGCTGATGCTAATGAGATATTTAATGACTTTATCTTCTTCACATACTGAAATGCACTAGTATCAACCTCTGACTCCCTCAGTGCAACTTCAACCGTTTCAACTTCTGAAGGAGAGAGGCTTTCAGTTGATATGAGATACATTACAGCGAACCGCAGTTTGTCCATTTTATCTCCTTTCCCTCTGAGCACGCTAAGAAGCTCGTTCCTATCAATTCCACCTCTGATCATCATTTCACTTTCCATTTTGGCATAAGAATCCAGAGACCGTTCCTTGATCTCACCCAACAATGCAGTAGCAATATTAGTGTGCTTATCAATCACTTGCTTCCGCTCAGTCAATTCAGGCAGAGAGTTTACTGCACTCATCAGATGCTTTGTGTTGCCAATCAAATCTGTTCCATCGAACTCAGCCCCAGCATTTCCTCCAGTTCGCCTATTTACCTCCTCAACGTCTTTCTTATACTTGTTTAACTGCGTCTCAATTTCCACAGCCACTTCTGGAAACTCTAACAACCCATTTGCCATCCAAAATGGGTCTGAATGATCCAATTCAAACGACTTCATCCCACCTTTCTCCCCTTTTACATTCAATCTATTCAACCTCAACCCAAGCACGTCATGAACCAGCGGCTTATACCTAAATTCATGCTGTATAGCCACAGACAGTTCAAAGTTCCTATCAAATATACATAAAATCGGCCTCTGGAACGAGCTTGTGAAATTCCCACTCTCTGTGAACAAATTGTTCTTTGCCAACAAATGATCACGCAACCTCTGATCAAGTAAGGATGCTACCATCTCAGAGGGCCCTCCAGGGGGGCACCTAATAATTGGCACAACAGCAAGTGTTGCCAACACACAAAACAACCCACTGACAATTTTTTCAATTATTTCCTCAATCTCTTTATCCCCAGCTGAAGGATCGTTTAATTGAACATAGCAATTCTTATTAGCAAGCGAAAATAAATTATCCTCAAGAGTCACAAATTCCAAATACTGATCATGGACCTTGGAAATTCTCTGGATTGAATCAGAATTAACAGATCCTGAAGCAAAAAGTATAAAAAAAATGAATCAATATTGGTTTCTATCAAACATTCAAATTGATTGTTCCTGCTTTTCCTTTTTCTTTTTAATTATCTTTTGGCAACTTAATATTTGACTCTTAAAAGCTGAATCTGATCACGAGTCCCTTAGAACCAAGAACCACACTAATATCCCTTACATGAACTCCTGAAAGTCGAATTATTCTGAAAATATGTGTTGTACCATATAGACTTAGATATTAGGCATACGTGAGATTACAATGTGAGTTATATGCTAATCCCCCTTTAACTCAATTGCATCACCGTTCATTTTTAAATTATAAAATACAGATTGAAAATGGCCCTGCATCATGGATCTAAACGTAAACATCACCAATCAAAGCCACAAAATAATATAACTTTTTGTTAAAATTCTAGTTCCTTGTCCTAATGAAATCCAAATTAATACAATTCAAATCAGATACCAGATGCGAGGTCCTCGAGGAGCGGCCTGGGAATGGAGGAGGAGAAATTGAGGTGAAACGAGTCATAGAGCGCCCTGGACGTATCCAAGACGATACGCTGGATGTTGAGTTGGGTAGGCTGAACGAAGTATACAGCGGGGACATCGTGGACTGGCTTGCGATCCTTGTCGACAAGAAAGTAGAGCGTGACACCATGCTTTCGCAGATCCTTGACGTGGATAAGCGGCGACAGTATATCCTGGCAGAATCTATCGTAGATAAGGATCTTGTACACCTCCTCGTTCGCCGTTCCCCCTCCGCCACCAACCGGGTTGATCACCGTTTGGTTCAGATTGAGCATCCGGATAATGCACTCTGCACAGTCAGCAACAAGATGAAGCTAAACCCAGAAATAAAATTACCCAAAAAACTGTGCGCCTACGGGAAATTAGAATTCCATTGCCGAGATCTGGGAAGAAATATAAAAGAATTTACCCGTTTGCTTTTGCCGGAGATTGAGTGCCATCGTCGAGCACGATTTAACTTTGAATCCTCCTCGAAATGATGGATTAATCTGTGTGTGTGCGTGCGTGTGTGAAAGAGAGATTTGGTGGAGTTGCGGAGACAGAAGATGGGGATTTGTTGGGGTTGAAATTGATTTTTATGAACTATGGTGCATATAAAATTGTACATGGAGCAATCAATAGATGGAATTATAAACGGAAAACGGCGCCGTTTCATGTCTAACTGCTTCACCTGTTATAATAAACTCGCGTGTTGGATAACAGCGATTTTTGTTTGCGCTGAACAGGAAAGAAGCAGTTCTTTGGTACCTCTCTTTGTTTCTTTGGATTGACGAATGGCGAGTGGGTACAAATTTCTTAAGAACAGGTATTGGATTCTGAGACACGGTAAAAGCATTCCAAATGAGAAGGGTCTCATCGTTTCATCTATGGTACTACTTCATTCTTTCAAATTATTTGTACCCTTTGCCATTCTTTGGGATATGTTCATTAGATTTAATCTTTACGATCTGGGTTCATGGTGTCTTAACAGGAAAATGGAACACTTAAACAATATGAATTAGCTTCTGAAGGAGTTCATCAGGCGCGCTTGGCTGGAGAACTGTTCCTTAAGGCAGTTCTTTTTTTTTTTGCTCGAACCTTCCCGCTTTATATTTTTATTCTTTTTTCTCTAAAGAAGTATTTCGCAATTCGGGCTGTTGATTATAGATTTTGAAGTAGCTAAAAGTTGATACTTGTAAAATTCACAACTGTAAATAAAGCGAAATTTGTGCAATGTAGAGTCTTCTTTGGGGGCTCAGAGGATTTACTGATTACGCGTAATTGATTCTTGGAATGTTGAAGTTCCTCAATGATTCTTATAGGTCTGGAGAAAAATCTCTAGTCTGCTCGCACTGATTAATTTTTCTTTTCTTAAAATTAGGCAAGTGGATATTTTGGATGGCTTTGAAATTGAAGGATTACAAATATTGAGTTTAGGAAATCATTGATCTTTAATAACTAAAGATAATTTCGACGATCAAATTTGGGTAGTACCAAAATGCCAACTAAAACGAGCAGTGTTAGATTTGAATAACGTATTGGAGGTGGTGACATTTGTCATTTGCAGAGCCCACTCTCACTCTTTCTTGAAGACGCATCACTGTTCAGGATGCATGGCATTTCATTCATCTAGTTGGTTGATTTTCTCTGTATGGGCTCAAACCACTCTGTTTACTACCACATTACTGTTTCTCTAAGATTCTTCCTACACAGACAAAAATGCATCCACATTCCATGTTTGTCTATCAAACCTAACTGATTATGAGGTGATAATCTAGATGATACAAATTATATGTACTCAATAAAATGGCTTTGAGTCAGTCTTTCCGGCTGATGACTTGAAGAGATTCTGGTTTCCCCTTAAGTTTAGTGATGAGGCAAGAGGGATGTACTGAATAAAAGTCCAATTTGTATTGGTCATTGACTATGTCATATCTTTGTTTTTAAGAGAAAAGGTGGTCCTGGATGGCAAATCCATTCTGTATGTAAACAGCTCTATCAGGATGTGTAAATCAAGGGAAGATCTAATCAGGAATGAAACCTGGGGAGGGTGGCATTGCAGAAAAAAAAACAGATGTTAATTATGGATTTCATTTTACATTTTGCTCCTCCTTCAAACAAATTCTAGATTTCCCCTAGTTTTGGCTAAACTTTGAATTGTCACAGGAACTCAGTGAAATGAACTTTGGACTGGAAAATGTTCGAATCTGCTATTCACCATTTTCAAGAACCAGTCATACTGCAACAGTGGTGGCATCTGTGCTAAATATTTCACTTGAAGGTCCACAGTGCAAGGTAAGCTATTCTATCCAATTGATTTCTGTATACTGGAGATAGTTTAGATACAAGCCTTTCAAAATATAGTTGTAGAAAAGATCTTTCTTTACCAGATACATTTTAGGCAGTATCACCACATTCTTGGAACATGGGCAGATGCATCCCGATCTTTATTTGAGCAGATTAGTTTCTTCCAATGATTAACAATGAATAATAAGAAATATGATTAAAAACTATCGTGGCATGCCAAAAGTGGAGTGGATATTGGAACTGTTAGCTGTTAGGTAAACTATTTAGCTAATTCATCTAAATTCTATGTATAGATTTGTTTGATTGCAGCTTAAAGTCAAAGAAGATGCTTACCCAGCTATTTACTGGACGAAAATAATTTTTTGGCTAGGAACTAGAGGAAGACTAATGGGAAATGGAATTTTGCTTTATACTATCTTAATATTATACCAGCAATCAAAGAGGCCTTACCTAGCCAAACACGAATTACCGGATTTTAAACACTTAAACCAGTAAAAGATGGGATGCACATATAATTTTGTTTTTCTTTCCTTCCATCATCCAAATGTATCATTCGGATGATAAATTAATTAACAAACGGTTTGTGTATAAATTTTTGGCAAGGGGTCTTGTGTACAATGGAAGTGAGTTAGGACTAGTAATTGTTATCTTGCTCTTCAAAATTTTTCTAGATGTTGAGATGTTCTCATCAGTTTACTTAATGTGAGTAATAAATACTGAACAGGCTATGGAGGATCTTCGGGAGAGATACTTTGGTCCTTCATATGAGCTTATGTCTCATGATAAAGTAAGTGAATTTTGAGAATTTGTATCATCCTGAGATGATTTACTTGTCAATCTGCTCTTGTAATCTACTTCTCTAGTATGGAGATTATAAATATTTGCAGTTGGTTCAACCTATCAAAAAAAAAAAAAATATTTGCAGTTGGTTCTCAATTTGGTTGGAATTTAAAGTTTTCTTGCTTTCCTTCCTTTACAGTACCCTGATATATGGGCCGTGGATGAGAAAGATCCCTTCATGCGGCCTGAAGGTGGAGAAAGTGTTGCAGATGTTGTCTCTAGACTCACGAGGGCTTTAAATATTATAGAATCAGATTTTGAAAGGTAATGGTTTTTATCGGTTCTCTCGTTCCTTTTCAAGCATGCTTTTTCAACTTCTTGGTCAAACTTTCTATCAATTCCGAAATCTGTATATTAATTGTTTTAGGTCGTTGTTCACATACATTGTGCAACTATCGCTGCTTAATTCTATTTGTGTGTATATATACTTGGCCTCAAATAAATACTAACAAAACAGGGTATTTAACAGGCTCTTATGTAGAAGAAACTATCGCTGCTTAATTCTTCTACTTAGGTATTCATATAGTTAACTGTCACATTCCGTGTCCAATAAGAATCAGTTTTTGCAAATTAACATATTGACATTGTAGGGTATGTTTAACATAACCGAAAGTTGGTTGAAAATGGAAAGTGGGGAGTCGAAAAGGGAAGGTTAATAGACCTTTTCCTTCAGAGAAAAAGGGAATGAAATTGAATTTTCAATGGATGGTAAAAATTTTAGTTCCATTTCAAATTAGATGTGCAAATGTTTAATGAGAATGTAGCAAGGCAAGTCTAAAATTGTTTTTTTCATGACACGTGTTTCATAATCCATGATTATGGATCTCTCTGTAAGCCGTTTCCCGCTACGTCTTTCCATGGTCTTGTCATTGGCTGAAAACAGATCTCAAATCCCTTAATTTGTCATTGTGGATTGTGTTTACTGCAAATGTCTTTGGACGACGAACACGACTGGATAAGTCTTCTCTTTTGTAGATGTGCAGTATTGGTTGTGAGCCATGGTGATCCGCTCCAGATTCTGCAAACAATACTTAGTGCAGCCCAGATTCACAACGATGACTTGACATCAATAATGCAGGCAATCAGCATTCCATCTGTGCTGTCAGGGCATCGCAAGTTTGCGTTACAAACTGGAGAACTTCGTCAATTAGTATAGATCGTAGTTTCCAAGTGGCAGCAAAGCATACAGTAGTTTAAGTATATTACTGAAATCTATATTTTATAATAATGAATTAAAGATTAATACTAGATTCTAACTGGAAGTTGCCAGTTATGAAGGTATGGTATTTGAATTTGGGAATAATGTCACCTCTTCACATGTATAAAAATGCAACCATTAAGCATGGAAAGACTAGGTGTAGATGTAACCTCTTTGAAATTTAATGTCTAAATGTTGCACATTCTGGGTTCTTCCAAGTTGAGGAGAACTGAACATATCTATCCTCCTGGGGGTAAGAGTAAAATATATATATTAAAGTGAAGAAGATATGTTGAAGCCATTACTTTTATTGATTGAGCTTATTCAATATATANCACGTAATTGAAGAAGAAGATAATGCTGAACCTTTTGTTTCATTGATTGAGCTTATTCTATATATAATACATTGCATTGCTACAAGAAGAATCTAGATATTACAGCCGTTAGGTGGTTCCATAAATTATGGATCATGTTGGGATTCTTCAATAACAAAATGGTGGTCCAATAACAGCAAGAAGAGACGGTTATGACAGCAAGAAAAGAGGCAGCTGAGTGAATGAAGATAGCTCAATGATGAATGGAGATAGCAACACTAGCTCCATGGTGAATGAAGCTCGCCACCAACTCCTTGCTGGAAGGAGCTAGCAACACTAGCTCCATAGTGAATGGAGCTAGCCATTATTCTTAACATCCCCCTTCAAGCTGGACGACAAGGAAGTGACTCCAAGTTTGTCTTTCAAAAAGAGAAACCTTGAATGACTTAATCCTTTCGTCAGCAAATCAAGAATCTGATCTGAGGTAGGTATGTATTTCACTTCAAGTTTTCTTGCCAGCACCTTATCTCTGATGAAGTGGGTGTCCAACTTTATATGTTTTGTCCTTGCGTGATATACTGGATTTGCAGCGAGCGCTCTTGCACTCATGTTATCACACCACAGAGTTGGAATTCCAACTAGAGGCAACCCAAGTTCCTAAAACAGTAATTGAATCCATGCAACTTCTGAAGCAGTGGAGGCAAGGGCTCTGTACTCAGATTCTGTGCTAGAACGAGCTACTACGTGCTGCTTTTTAGAGGACAAGGATATCAGATTATCACCCAAATAGATACAGTAGCCTGTTGTTGACCTTCGATCATCTGGACAAGAAGCTCAGTCAGTATCTGAGTATCCAATTAAGTTCAATTTGTCGCTCCTCTGGATCCATAAGCCATGATTTATAGTGCCTTTGAGGTATCTCAGAACTCTCTTCAAAGCTTGCCAATAAATCGAAGTTGGAGTTTGCAAAAATTGGCTTAAGTCCTTGACTGTGAAGGTAATGTCTGGTCTTGTATGTGAGAGGTATTGTAGGGCCCCAACTGCACTTCTGTAAATTGAAGGTTCAGTTAACATTTCACCATCAGTCTTGGAGATAGTTTTGCCAGCAGGAATTGGTGTAGGACACGGTTTTAAATTCTCCATCTCAAACCTTTTTAGTAAGTCAGTAATGTATCTTGATTGGGTGAGGTGAATGCCAGAGTCGTGTCATACAACTTCAATCCCAAGAAA